TCCAAGGTACTGGAGAGGAGGCTACGTCCGATGGTCGAATCTCGGATTCAGGAAGAGCAGTGTGGTTTTCGTCCCGGTCGCGGAACACTGGACCAGCTCTATACTCTCCATCGGATACTCGAGGGTTCATGGGAGTTCGCCCAACCTGTCCACATGTGCTTTGTGGATTTGGAGAAGGCGTTCGACCGTGTTCCCCGGGGTGTCCTTTGGGGGGTCCTCCGGGAGTACGGGGTCCGGGGTCCTCTGCTGAGGGCCGTCTGGTCCCTGTATGACCGGAGTCAGAGCTGTGTTCGCATTGCCGGCAGTAAGTCAGACCTGTTCCCGGTGCATGTTGGCCTCCGCCAAGGCTGCCCTTTGTCACCGGTTCTGTTCACTGTATTTATGGCCAGAATTTCTAGGCGCAGCCAGGGGCCGGAGGGGGTCCGGTTCGGGAACCACAGGATTTCATCTCTACTTTTTGCGGATGATCTCGTCCTGCTGGCTCCAACGAACCAGGACCTGCAGCATGCACTGGGACGGTTTGCAGCCGAGTGCGAAGCGGCTGGGATGAGAATCAGCACCTCCAAATCCGAGGCCATGGTGCTCGACCGGAAAAAGGTGCCTTGCCCTCTCCAGGTGGGTGGAGAGGTCCTTCCTCAAGTGGAGGAGTTCAAGTATCTCGGGGTCTTGTTCACGAGTGAGGGAAGAATGGAGCGTGAGATTGACAGGCGGATCGGTGCAGCGTGCGCAGTGATGCGGTCTCTGTATCGGACCGTTGTGGTTAAAGAGGGAGCTGAGCCGAAAGGCAAAGCTCTCGATTTACCGGTCAATCTTCGTTCCCTCCCTCACCTATGGTCATGAGCTTTGGGTAATGACCGAAAGAACGAGATCGCGGATACAAGCGGTCGAAATGAGCTTCCTCCGCAGAGTGGCTGGGCGCTCCCTTAGAGATAGGGTGAGGAGCTCAGTCACACGGGAGGAGCTCGGAGTAGAGCCGCTGCTTCTCCACGTCGAGAGGAACCAGTTGAGGTGGCTCGGGCATCTGTTCAGGATGCCTCCTGGACGCCTTCCTGGGGAGGTGTTCCGGGCACGTCCCACCGGGAGGAGGCCCCGGGGAAGACCCAGGACACGCTGGAGAGACTATGTCTCTCAGCTGGCCTGGGAACGCCTTGGGGTCCCCCCGGACGAGCTGGAGGAGGTGTGTGTGAATAGGGAAGTCTGGGCGTTGCACCATACGTTAGTTTTTATTATTAAACGGTATTTCCGCATCGGCGAACACACTCAAAGCAGTTGCATAAAGTCACGGGAGCATGACAACGCATATGTTCACAAGCACTATGTTGCCCATTGTCAACCCTGGTTTAGTCCTGGTTTAGTCCTGGTTTGGTCCTGGTTTGGTCCTGGTTTGGTCCTGGTTTGGTCCTGGTTTGGTCCTGGTTTGGTCCTGGTTTGGTCCTGGTTTAGTCCTGGTTTGGTCCTGGTTTGGTCCTGGTTCGGTCCTTGTTTAGTCCTGGTTTAGTCCTGGTTTGGTCCTGGTTTGGTCCTGGTTCGGTCCTGGTTCGGTCCTGGTTCGGTCCTGGTTCGGTCCTGGTTCGGTCCTGGTTTGGTCCTGGTTTAGTCCTGGTTTAGTCCTGGTTTAGTCCTGGTTTGGTCCTGGTTTGGTCCTGGTTCGGTCCTGGTTCGGTCCTGGTTTGGTCCTGGTTTAGTCCTGGTTTAGTCCTGTTTTGGTCTTGGTTTAGTCTTGGTTTAGTCCTGGTTTAGTCCTGGTTTGGTCTTGGTGTAGTCCTGGTTTGGTCCTGGTTCGGTCCTGGTTTAGTCCTGGTTTAGTCCTGGTTTGGTCTTGGTGTAGTCCTGGTTTGGTCCTGGTTCGGTCCTGGTTTAGTCCTGGTTTAGTCCTGTTTTGGTCTTGGTGTAGTCTTGGTTTAGTCCTGGTTTGGTCTTGGTGTAGTCCTGGTTTGGTCCTGGTTTAGTCCTGGTGTAGCTCCTGTACTGGCTGTTTACAGTATGTTCAGTCTGCTCGCTCAGACCAACAATGTCTCCGTGACCACTTTGGAGCTCTCTGATTGGTCGCTGCACGAACGTCCGAGGAAACGTTCAGCAAGACAGCATGACAACGCATATGTTCACAAGCACTATGTTGCCCATTGTCAACCCTGGTTTGGTCCTGGTTTGGTCCTGGTTTGGTCCTGGTTTGGTCCTGGTTTGGTCCTGGTTTGGTCCTGGTTTGGTCCTGGTTTAGTCCTGGTTTAGTCCTGGTTTGGTCCTGGTTTGGTCCTGGTTTGGTCCTGGCTCGGTCCTGGTTCGGTCCTGGTTCGGTCCTTGTTTAGTCCTGGTTTAGTCCTGGTTTAGTCCTGGTTTGGTCCTGGTTCGGTCCTGGTTCGGTCCTGGTTTAGTCCTGGTTTAGTCCTGTTTTGGTCTTGGTTTAGTCCTGGTTTAGTCCTGGTTTGGTCTTGGTGTAGTCCTGGTTTGGTCCTGGTTAGGTCCTGGTTCGGTCCTGGTTTGGTCCTGGTTTAGTCCTGGTTTAGTCCTGTTTTGGTCTTGGTGTAGTCTTGGTTTAGTCCTGGTTTGGTCTTGGTGTAGTCCTGGTTTGGTCCTGGTTTGGTCCTTGTTTAGTCCTGGTTTAGTCCTGGTTTAGTCCTGGTTTGGTCCTGGTTTGGTCCTGGTTCGGTCCTGGTTTAGTCCTGGTTTAGTCCTGTTTTGGTCTTGGTTTAGTCCTGGTTTAGTCCTGGTTTGGTCTTGGTGTAGTCCTGGTTTGGTCCTGGTTTAGTCCTGGTTAGCTCCTGTACTGGCTGTTTACAGTATGTTCAGTCTGCTCGCTCAGACCAACAATGTCTCCGTGACCACTTTGGAGCTCTCTGATTGGTCGCTGCACGAACGTCCGAGGAAACGTTCAGCAACGCTCTTGTGCCTCTGCCGCGCCTTTCTGCGCGACTCTACTGAGCAGTCCATGCGTGAGTCCCGAGTCGCACTAAAACACGTGTCACCGTTGACTTTGCACTGAAAGTCGACTAAGGCAGCATTATAGTTCAATGTTGAGACAAAATACATGTTTTACATTACATTGTAACAGTGTTACTCTTTTTTTTTTATTCACATTTTTCTGTGTTCTTGGGTGAATGTCACAGTAAAGATGTAATTTTCTCTTATTTTCTAACAAAACACAGTATTTACAAATGCTCCGAGGACATGCTGTGAAATTTAAATAAAAAAAAAATAAAAAAAAATAAAAAATGGTAAGTTGCTTTTTTAAGGCCAAATAGATGGGAAATCGCAAAAAAAAAATCAGAAATCGTAAGACACTTTTTCTTCGGTTCTCAGGAGGGTAGGATGGGTCAGTAGGCTCACACTAGTAGCCTGTGGTACTGCACTATATCCGTACACCACACACCCATAATCAAACACTGACTTTATCAAGGCCTGATAGAGGCGTTTCAGTGCGGAGCAGCTGGCTCCCCAGTCTCTCTCTGCCAAACACCTCATAACATTTACAACCTTATTAGACTTCATTCATTTTCAACCCCTTTTTTAGCCCGATTCTGGGTCGGGGGTGGCAATCAGAGCTGCCACCCAATGCTCATAGCACCAGTCCCTCGCTGATCCTCTGCAGGTGGTGGGTCCACGGGAAGATGGCTGCTCCGTCAGCGGTGACACAGCCTTGGTCTTTCGGTTGCGTCACTCGGTCTCTCTGTGACAACCTTATTAGACTCCTCCTCAATCCTTAATATGCTCCTTCCATGTGTGGCGGACACTAGGGGTCGCCACCGCCACAGTGGTACTTGCCTGGCATCCGGGGGTTTCTAATGTAATTGAATAATTTGTCAGGGCTTGATTGGCAGATTTCCCCTGGTGTAAACAGCATTGAGGAGTAGCCTGCTACTGTTTTTTGTAGGGTTTTGGTTTTGCCTTTAGTTTACAGTTGTGTTTTTTTTTATCCAGCACTGCACTTTTAAATAAAGGTTTTTAGGTTTCAATGCTGTAGACTCTGGAGCTTAGGTGTATAGTTTAGTTATGTTTAGTTCTCCCGGGGCGCGCCTGAGGGGGACCTAGCCCAGTTTCTTTCAGTTATTTGCACTATTGGGTCTTCAGTTGTTTTGTTGTGAGTGAAGGTAGCACTTTCAGTTTTGTTACGGGTGGGGCTACTCCCCGCGCAGGTCGCCCTCATTGGATTTATTTAGTTATTAGTTTATTTTAGTATATTGAATTTTTATGATGCCCAGGGGCTGCAGCTTTTAAACCTTTTGGTGGGCTTTTATATTTTGACTTCTGGACTTTTTAATAATTACATTGCAATGAATTAAAATCTTTTTAAAAATAACTCTTAATTTCTCCAGCTCTTTAATAAAATTCTAACATTTTAAGTCTTGTGTCTGTCGTTGTTTTTACATACTTACCTGTGTCCTTGGTTTTAGTTCCTGGTTTATTTACTGTTACTGTGAACTTTTGAAAAGGTACCTCCAATGACACATGTTAAACGAAAGTCCAGTACAACCGCTAAAAACGTAAATGAACTAACTCTCTATCTCTTCACCGTATAACCTCAACTTCAAATCTTCACTCTCTTCCTTGTAAAGAAAACCATTTTAGTTTTCTCAACTGAGAACCTGAAGCCCCACTCCACCACATCATTAATGGCTCTCTGACTCTTGACTATTAGATGATCTGTATTTCTCCCCCTGCTCCACAACGCCCCATCATATGTGAACAAAGATATGCCCACACTCCCAGGCTCTGCTTCAAACATTCATTAGAATAATGAAAAGGCAGAAACTGAGGCAGTCAGAGGCAGCCTGAGCCTCAGCCTCGGCTTGTATTTAGTCTCAGCCTCAGCTCGGCCTCAGTCTCAGCCTCAGCTCGGCCTCAGTCTCAGCCTCAGTCTCAGCCTCAGCTCGGCCTCAGTCTCAGCCTCAGCTCGGCCTCAGTCTCAGCCTCAGCTCGGCCTCAGTCTCAGCCTCAGTCTCAGCCTCAGTCTCAGCCTCAGTCTCAGCCTCAGTCTCAGCCTCAGCTCGGCCTCAGTCTCAGCCTCAGCTCGGCCTCAGTCTCAGCCTCAGCTCGGCCTCAGTCTCAGCCTCAGTCTCAGCCTCAGCCTCAGTCTCAGCCTCAGTCTCAGTCTCAGTCTCGGCCTCAGCCTCAGTCTCAGCAGGTCGCCCAGGTCGTAGGAGTCGAAGAAGTCGGACCTCGTGCTCCTCCAGGCTCCACAGTCGTCGTCGCAGTCCAGGGGGGGGAGAGAAGCTGACGAAGGGGCCCACGGAGGCTCCAGGGCAGGCCAGCTGGTCCTCGGTCATCTGCAGGAGTCTGGGGGGCAGACCCAGCAGCCCCTCCACGTCCAGCAGAGAGGGGGAGGGGGCCACAGCAGGGGGGGCACGCGCTGTGGGACACAGACGTCAGTGTGAGGCTGTGTTTTACATCAGTCACAGTAAGATCAGTTCAGACAATGTTTGTTTAAGACCCACACCCTTCATTCAATTAAATTGAATTAAATGTAGACAAGGTTCTAGAAGTGTCTGCTGCGGCAACATGGATCTGTGAGCTCCACGAGTGGCTGCGAGATTCTGCAGGAGACCGTGGGCGCTACGAACGCAGGGGCTCCTGTGGTAAAGGTGGGAGTCATTCACATTTTCAATGTATATTGGATATACTTTCATATATGTGTATATTGGATATACTTTCATATATGTGTATATAGTATATACTTTCATATATATGTATATAGGATATACTTTCATATATGTGTATATAGGATATACTTTCATATATGTGTGTATATAGGATATACTTTCATATATGTGCATATAGGATATACTTTCATATATGTGCATATAGGATATACTTTCATATATGTGTATATAGGATATACTTTCATATATGTGTATATAGGATATACTTTCATATATGTGTATATAGGATATACTTTCATATATATGTGTATATAGGATATACTTTGTACTGCCATAGCTCTCTAAATATATGCGGATTAGCGCAAATAACAAAAGATAGTGCGAGGGTTCATATATAAGCTCTGTATGTTCATGAGGAGGCTACACCTTTTACTTCTTTATCCATTTAGAGCCGACCACTTGGAAACAAATACATTTGTAAAAACAGATTGAAATCGTAAATATAGAAACACACAGTGAGACTATGACAAATACTGATTATATATTTATACATTTATATTTGTGCATGTGTATAATGTACGCTCAGTGGCCAACACAACATGTACAAGTTTAATATCAGTCTGGATTATAACAGGTCAGAGTCTCAGGATGCTTCAATAGTTTTTATCTGCAGTTTAGTTCAGAATAATAATGTCCCACTCTGTCTCCTTCTTCATCACATGTCAGTTTGAATCTCAGACTTGATGCAGCTTTAAAGGAACCATAAGATTTTCCTTTCAGACAAAAACATGACGTATCCGAGTCTCCAAAAGTAACACAAAGTAAAGATGTTCCAATCCTCAATAAGTGTTTGGTCTGTAAAGCTCAGCAGCTGCAGCACAGGGTTAAAGGGATTGTCTGGAGTTGGTCAGAAGAAAGAGAGAGAGGTACAAAAACGACCCAAGCTCCCTACTGCCTACTTTTCCGTAACAATCAATCAACACATTTAAATGGTAATCAGAGAACACATTATACATATACATTATTAATACACATGCTGAGAGGTTTTCAGAATGATCAATTCACGTTTTCATGACAAAAATAATGTTTTAATGCACAATAAAGCGATTGCTGTCAACCCGGAAGTAGCTATTTATATTCATTGAACATTATAGGACACATCTGCAGAGGATCTGATTATGGATATAGGTTCAGTATATAAATGATTATGGATATAGGTTCAGTATATAAATGATTATGGATATAGGTTCAGATATAAATGATTATGGATATAGGTTCATATATAAATGATTATGGATATAGGTTCATATATAAATGATTATGGATATAGGTTCATATATAAATGATTATGGATGTAGGTTCATATATAAATGATTATGGATATAGGTTCATATATAAATGATTATGGATATAGGTTCATATATAAATGATTATGGATATAGGTTCAGTATATAAATGATTATGGATATAGGTTCATATATAAATGATTATGGATATAGGTTCATATATAAATGATTATGGATATAGGTTCATATATAAATGATTATGGATATAGGTTCATATATAAATGATTATAGATATAGGTTCAGTATATAAATGATTATGGATATAGGTTCATATATAAATGATTATAGATATAGGTTCAGTATATAAATGATTATGGACATGGTTCAGTATATAAATGATTATGGACATAGGTTCAGTATATAAATGATTATGGATATAGGTTCAGTATATAAATGATTATGGATATAGGTTCAGTATATAAAGGATTATGGATATAGGTTCAGTATACAGTGCCTTGCGAAAGTATTCGGCCCCTTGAACCTTTCAACATTTCGCCAAATTTCAGGCTTCAAACATAAAGATATAAAAACAATTTTTTTTGTCAAGAATAAACAAGTGGGACACAATCGTGAAGTGGAACGAAATTTATTGAATAATTTAAACTTTTTTTAACAAAAAAAACTGAAAAGTGGGGCGTGCAATATTATTCGGCCCCCTTGCGCTAATAATTTGTAGCGCCACCTTTTGCTGAAATTACAGCTGCAAGTCGCTTGGGGTATGTCTGTCAGTTTTGCACATCGAGAGACTGGAATTCTTGCCCATTCTTCCTTGCAAAACAGCTCGAGCTCAGTGAGGTTGGGTGGAGAGCGTTTGTGAACAGCAGTCTTCAGCTCTTTCCACAGATTCTCGATTGGATTCAGGTCTGGACTTTGACTTGGCCATTCTAACACCTGGATACGTCTGTGAACCATTCCATTGTAGATTTGGCTTTATGTTTTGGATCATTGTCCTGTTGGAAGATAAATCTCCGTCCCAGTCTCAGGTCTTTTGCAGACTCCAACAGGTTTTCTTCCAGAAGGGTCCTGTATTTGGCTCCATCCATCTTCCCATCAATTTTAGCCATCTTCCCTGTCCCTGCTGAAGAAAAGCAGGCCCAAAGCATGATGCTGCCACCACCATGTTTGACAGTGGGGATGGTGTGTTCAGGGTGATGAGCTGTGTTGCTTTTACGCCAAACATATCGTTTTGCATTGTGGCCAAAAAGTTAGATTTTGGTTTCATCTGACCAGAGCACCTTCTTCCACATGTTTGGTGTGTCTCCCAGGTGGCTTGTGGCAAACTTTAAACGAGACTTTTTATGGATATCTTTGAGAAATGGCTTTCTTCTTCTTCTCCTCTTCCATAAAGGCCAGATTTGTGCAGTGCACGACTGATTGTTGTCCTATGGACAGACTCTCCCACCTCAGCTGTAGTTATCTGCAGTTCATCCAGAGTGATCATGGGCCTCTTGGCTGCATCTCTGATCAGTCTTCTTGTTTGAGATGAAAGCATACACATGCACAAAGTTCTCTATCTTCTAAGAGAAGGGAGGGCAGGACTTACCTGTAATATTAGAATTAATAAAAGGACTTATTTTATATCAACATTCAAGCCCAGGAGGTCAATTTAATACAATTCTTAACATTTGTAATTCATTTGGAGTTCCAGACTATTACTTTAAGACTGAAGTGAAATCCTGCAGAGTCTGACTCTGGGGTCACATGATGCAGCCTCAGCTCTGTCTCCTTCACTTTGTTCCACATGCTGCGTCTTCACACCTGCTTCTCACAGGTTTTAATGTGTTTATAAAGAGAAGACCTATGAGTAAAAGACTTTCCACAATTTTCACAGACAAATGGTTTCTCTCCAGTGTGGATCCTCTGATGATCTTTGAGAGTATCCTTATGTCTAAAACTCTGATCACAAACATCACAGCTGAAGGGCTTTTCTCCAGTGTGGATTCTGCTGTGGCGCTTGAGATACACTGGCCAAGAAAAACTGTGTCCACACTGGTCACACGTGTACGGCTTGTCTCCGGTGTGGCTCTGATGGTGAAGTATGCGCTTTGATGAAGTTCTGAAGGTTTTACTGCAGAAGCCACATGCAAATGGTTTTTCTCCAGTGTGGATTCTCTCATGACTTTTGTAGTTTGAAAACAGAGTAAACTCTTTCCCACAGTCTCCACAGACGAATGGTTTTTCTCCTGTGTGGATTCTGTAGTGACGAGTGAGGTAAGATAATAGTGTAAAAGTCTTTTCACACTGGTCACATTGGTGAGGTCTCTCTCCTGTGTGGACACGCTGATGTAGTGAGAGCAGGTATTTGGTCCTAAATGTTTTTTCACACTGGTCACACTCAAATGGTTTTCCTGTGTGGATCTTCTGATGATCTTTGAGAGTACGCTCTTCTCTAAAACTCTGATCACAAACATCACAGCTGAAGGGCTTCTCTCCAGTGTGGATTCTTCTGTGGACCTTGAGACCTCGTTTTGTAGTAAAACCTGTTCCACACAGTTCACACTCGTATGGTTTTTCTACAGTGTGGATTCTGCTGTGGACCTTCAGACGTCCTTTGGTAGTAAAACCTGTTCCACACAGTTCACACTCGTATGGTTTTTCTCCAGTGTGGATTCTGCTGTGGACCTTGAGATAATCTTTTGTAGTAAAACCTTTTCCACACAGTTCACACTCGTATGGTTTTTCTCCAGTGTGGATTCTGCTGTGGGCCTTGAGATGTTCTTTTGTAGTAAAACCTGTTCCACACTGATCACACTCATATGGTTTTTCTCCAGTGTGGATTCTGTAGTGGGTCTTTAGTTTGGAAGGAAAGCTGTAGTTCTTTCCACACTGATCACAGGTGAACCCCATTCTGCAGATCTACAAAAAACACAACAAAGACATCATTAGAACATATTTTGACATTGATGGTGGTAGAAGTGAGAAATGAAATGGTTCTCTTAAAATCAACATCAAACATTGCACTCTGCAAATAAAGCCATGTGGTTGTAGAGAACATTACATACATCATTATTTAAGTGTTTATATTTAATACAGAGACTAATTAAGACTTAGACCCCGTCCCAATTCTCGCCCTTGCCCTAGATTTGCGCGTGCCCATGGGGTTGTACGGTGTAGAGGTGAGGGCCTTCACACCCTTAAAAACCACCCTTGAGGTCCGGAGCTCACTTGTGAGCGAGGGTGATCCCATGATGCATTACGATAGTTGTTGGTAAAAAAATAATAAACATGAAACACCCGGGCACAAGTTTGTGCGGAACGAGAGGAGTGTGCGAGTCAGAGTTTTTTAATGCGTGTGTTTATGCCATGTTCGGTGACGTTCGCTCCTGAAGCGGCCGCAGTGTGTGGCGTTCACTGAGGCTTCAGAGACGTGTAGCATGTTATTATAGATCCATGTTATTATCATAGATCCATGTTATCATAGATCCATGTTATCATAGATCCATGTTATTATCATAGATCCATGTTATTATCATAGATCCATGTTATTATCATAGATCCATGTTATTATCATAGATCCATGTTATTATCATAGATCCATGTTATTATCATAGATCCATGTTATTATCATAGATCCATGTTATTATCACAGATCCATGTTATTATCACAGATCCATGTTATTATCATAGATCCATGATGTAGTTCAGACCATCGTTTTGACAGAGTTTGCTTTGTGATTGGCGGGACCACGGCTGTACCCGTCTGTGCGCGTACGTGTGTGTGTGTACATGCTTCTGTCTGTGTGTACATGTGTGTCTGTATACCTAATTATAGCAAATCTTCATATGAAAGAGAATTAAAAACTTCTAATTTTAGTAAATACTGTGTTTCATAAATTCATATCTGTGTCAGATCTTATCTGTGGTGAAATCAAACACTTATAATCCAGTGGAACCCGGGACTAACCTCACAGCCAGTATATAGATAGCTGGAATAGACTAGTTTGGGCTCTTGGTCGGTGTCAACTCTCTGCAACATGTAGCAGCCTAATGGGCTCGACACACGGGAGGCGACATCGCATCGCCTCCATTCATTTTCAATGGGACGTGCGCGACATAGCGTCAATCGCTAGCGAGCCTCCTGCTCAGCGACGGGCGAAAAACGTGCGTGTGAAATCCTCCCGCTCGTGCATGTATCGTGCACGCGCAGGTCAGCGACGCGATCCCAGAAAGTTGAAATCGGCTCAACTTTTCGACGCTGTCGTCAAGGTAAGAACCAATCAGCGGAGGTGGCATTGACGGACCAATCAGCAGTCAGGACACTACTCGGTCATCTCATTGGCAAAAACAAAACAACGCGAGCAAACATGGAAGAAACTTTGATTCTCTCCGTTTCAGACTTTCCAGAGCTGTATGATATTTCTTCAAAAGAATACAGAGATCTAAATAAGAAGGCGGCGGCTTGGGCGCTGGTTGGCGCCAGAATCAACATGCCAGGTACGTTTATATTAGCTACTTTGTAAAGTAGAAAAAACAACAACACACGAACAACTAGGCTAGAGCACTACACTGGTATCAAAAGTAGCCTACTAAATGTTGCTACTCAATGAACCTAGTATCAAAACAAGGAAATGTTTATTTGAGCAAAGTACATGATTAAATAAGTTCTTTAGCTAAGAGTAAAAATTAAAAGTCTTTCATAGACATTTAAAACCTCTCTAAATGTTGGGGTAGCGTTAAAACTAAAAACTATTCTCTGTAATATTTTGTAAAGTCAAGTACAGATACCTTAAATAATTACTTAACTACAGTACTTTTACTTTTGTACTTAGTTACTTTCCATCACAGGCTAAAAGTCTTTGCAGTTAGTGCATGAGGTGTGAATGAACATCAATGTGTTATTTGTTTACGTATTTATTTAGCTATTTATTTATGAGAATGCATATTAATCAAAATATGAACAAAAACATTACTGTAAAATACACTACAGTTCAACTTCTCATACAATGTAATAATTTTAACAAAGCATATGCAAATACTAATGTAACTTTAATAAAAAGAAATATGTACATTCATTGTTTATGATAATGTTTACCATTCTTTTCCAGTTTAAACTATTTCATGCTGCCAAGGAACTTCTCCAGCTGGTGATGAGAAATAATCACAAAATCTGTCTCTTATTTTAGAAGCCTCTCTGCTTGAGTTGTTGGATCCAGTCTGTGGGATGGGCTGCAAACCTGCGTCTGTTGTCATGTCGTCAGTGGGTGATTCTTGTGTGTGTGGTGTAGCTCTGTCAACTTCACCGTTTCTTCTCATGTAGTTTTGAAGCACACAGGTGGCCTTCACAACATGGTCAGCTTTTTTGGGGCAGATACTCAGGACACGGCGGTAAACACGCCACTGTGTTGAAAGAATGCCAAATGCATTCTCTACTATTCTTCGAGCACGAGACAAACGGTAGTTGTAGCATCTCTTCTTTCTCTCTAGATGTTTGCCAGGATATGGTCTCATGATGTGGCGTTGAAGAGGGAAGGCTTCATCTGCCACTAGTACATGTGGCATAGGCCCCAGGTGGTCTGAGCCTTGTAGTGTGGTGTCTCCAGGTATGCCCAGTGTGCCAGCCTTCAAACGTTTCCCCAGGGGAGACTCCGACAGTATGCCCCCATCACTGTTTCTCCCATACCCACCCACATCAATGATCCTAAACATATAATTTGCGTCGACCACAGCTAACAGTACAATTGAATGGGTACCTTTGTAATTAAAATATTTAGAGCCAGAAGATGGAGGGGCTTGCAGCACTACATGTTTCCCATCAAGAGCTCCTATGCAGTTGGGAAAGTTCCATCGCTCTCTAAAACCATCTGCAATGGCTTTCCAGTCCTCTGTTGTTGGTTCTGGCATGTACTGAGGTTGCAGCACATCCCAAATGGCCTGAGACACATCACCAACTATTTGTCCTACTGTTGAGCGGCCCACACGATAATTGAAACCAATTGTTGAAAAGGAATCTCCCGTTGCAAGGAATCTGAAAAGAGAAAAAAAGTGTTTTTAAAATGATTTAAAAATGAGGGTAAAAATATGTTTTAAACATGATTGAAACGTGTTTTTGACATGATTAAAAAATGTTAACATTTATTTTTAACATGATTAATATTATTTTTTTGCAGATACATTCTCACAGGTTTAAAGTCAGACTAAGAATTATACTGTATTTGAATATAAATTGTTAATTATTTATTGAATTCTAATTTGTTTTACAGGTGAGGAGGCCAAAAAGAGGTGGAAGAATCTCAGAGACACCTACATGAGAATAAGAAAGACCATGAAAGCAAAGAAAAGTGGATCTGCTGCTGGTGGGCAGAAGACATGGAAGTATTTCCAAATCATGTCCTTCCTGGAGCCATATATGAAAGAACGTGTCACAAGTGGCAACATGACCGCAGTCGACCCTCAAGAGGATGAGATAATTCTCACACTAGAACCAGTGCTGGAGAATGAAGATGGCTCTTCTGTTTGCTCGCTCACCACTGACGCAGTCAGTGACTGCAGTAGCCCATCTCCAGTAGACCAGTCAGTCCAGCAGCCAACCACCATCCTCCACACACCCCAATCATCCTCTCACAAACCTACACCTCAAAAAAGAAAGAGGCCTGCTGACAGCTTTGAAACAGCAATCCTCAACAGGGTTGATGAAATCCAAGCCCAGCTAAAGGAGCCTGATGAGGATGAACTCTTTCTACAAAGCCTTTTGCCATCACTGAAGCGCCTGACAGGAGCCAAGAAATCGATGGCCAAGATGGAGATAATGAAAGTGCTCCACAAATTAGAATATGGAGAGGAGTGATATTTTTGTGTTGTCCAATTTTGTATTTATTTTCATAACAGTTTTGCACAGTTGAATGTTTGTTCTTTCCTAATGCAGAGGATTGCTGTGTTATTTATTTTATAACAGTTTTGCACAGTTGGCCTGTAAATGTTTCTTTCCTAATGCAGAGGATTGTTCCATGTTATTTATTTTAAGTTAAGTAAATAAGCTATATTGTTTGTACCTTTTTGTGGTTCATATCAAGGGCAATGTAAATGTGAATAAAAAATGCATTGCCAACCTATGCGTCATACATTCTGGACATTACCAATCACTCTTTTATAAACACATAGAATAGATGTATGTAATTGGTAATAGAAAAACATGATGGTTATTATTACATGATTACTCTTTTTACATTGGTGATTTTATTAGGCTACATGATTACATTACATTCTTATTTCTTATATCTTACAGGATTATTTTTTGTTATTAGATGATTTTTTTTGTTATCATTAATAATGCATGATTATTATTTCACATTATATTGACTTACCTTAGACAGATAGCCAGCCGTTCTTCAGGGCTTATAGGCTCCCTCATGTTTGTGTGGATCTTCTCTATCTTTGGCGTTACCATGGTGAGAAGGTGGGAAAACAGCTCTGGACTGAGCCGAAAGTAGGCACGGAACTGATCAGGATCAGTTTTAAGGTCCCTCACTAAGTGATGGTATTCTCCGTGTATTTGTCTCGTCTGCAATATCGGATGGACCCATTCACGTCTTCTCCGCTTCTTGTAGAGCAAATTCAGGAGTAATATTTCACACAGCTCTAACAGAATCTTTTTACGATCCATAATTGCCGCCGGACCCATTTTGACCCCTGCACTGTGTTTATATACCCCAACGTTTCCTCTCTGACAGCCAATCAAAACCACGGAAGACCCACGCGTCGCCCTGGAGCGCAGCGCATCGCCGGTGCCGCTTGCCGCATCGCGCCCCGTCTGTCATGTTATCTGAGCGACAGCGTTGAGTTTCGCTGATCGCTCTCATTTGTCGCCTCCCGTGTGTCGAGCCCTTAATACTGAGGCTCAGAGCCTCCAGGGTTCTCTCCCTCTCCAACCATCTCTTCTTGGGGTATGATATTTTCTGTTATGCAGTGGCGTCTCTGGCATGAAAAGTTGAGTGGGGCACAAGAGTGGGCAATTTACATCCACTAACAGCAAAACATGCACAATAAATCCAATTCAAGACCACAGTCTATTTTTATGCACAGCCTAACGTATTAACCCCATGAATAAAACCTTTGAATAGTTAAAAATAAATCAGAATTAAAGCCGCAAGCGGCGATGAAAGGCCTCGCCCCTCTAGCGACCGCCTCCCGGTCCCACAAGCGTCACGGCGACGAATTGGCAGCCCGATCTAACCAGGATTACGTATATAAAAGTTCATTAATATGAAAAAGTGCGTCCCTAGTGGTCACCTCCGGGACATGCACCCTCTACGTAGAGTAGTATTTTGCTCGTACAGATGTCAAGATTTGATTTTGCAACTTTGGTGAAGATCGGAAAAGTTTAGGTCAGAAGCCTTCCATAGGTGGCGCTGTAGAGTCATATTAGGTGTGTGTTTTCACACCATGTGAAAGGTGTAGGACTTTGAAACGTGTTTGAAATTATGCTTCATGAACTATGAACTATTTGAGTCTTTCAGTCAATTGTGTTGATACAACAAACACATCCAAAGTAATACAGTTATACAGAAAGTGATTAATTGAGGAAAAACTACCAAGAGGTGGATTAATTAAACACAACAAATCATTTATTCCCAATAAATAAATACATTTACTTTGCAACACAAAAGTTATTATGGGTAAGCACTTTGACAGTCCTGTCTGTTTTCTAAAATATGCTAAATAAATAAACTTGACCTTGATCAGTTAATGAATGCAAAATAACTTCGGCTAAAAGCAAAACTTAAATGATAGTCTTTTGTCCAAACAACGAGAGAGAGTTATCTTATTTCTCTCCCTAAAACCTTCAAATCAGGTCAGAAATGTAGGAGTGATAATAGACAAACACTTAAACAGCCACATCAAATAAGTAACATTAGCAGCTTTTGACCATCTGAAGAGCCTAAAGCATTTGTCTGCAGTAGGTTGGACTGCTGTAATGGCCTGCAGGTGGAAATTAGCTTTGCTATAACCTGGTACATGCATCTCTCCTTTGTGTTTATGTTTAACTGTACACTGTCCCTGTTTAAATAAAGTACATACAATACAATACAATCAGTAGGAAGACTCAGCAGCCTGTTTCACTGTAATTTGTATTAAGGCAAAAGGTGCCCCCCTGGTGGTCAAGTTGGGTATTGTAGCTCTGAGTGTAATATCACTATATGAAATAAACTGCTTACTTGCACGAAAACGGTGAAGATTTTCTAACTTTTTCGCGATGATTATATAACTTCAATCCGTCCAGGGCGGGAAATGACGTGGTAGAACTCTGTGTGATGAAAAACCAGGGACTAGTTCGAATTTATAAATGAAAAGTCAAATTAGTGGCGAAACTTCGGCCCCTCATGGCCAACTTCCTGTTGGTCCCAGACATGTGCTTAGACCGGCTTTTATGCTCGTCTCATAGAGATCTATCACTCATCCGAATTTTGTGTACCTACTCCAAAATATGCAATCCTGCCTCCAATAGAAATGGCAAATTTTGAATTTTCAAGGGGGAGCCATTGATTCGCCTTTTGTCGGACAATCTCGAAACGTCCATTTTATCAAATGTATCGCCGGACCGGTCGTTTTAGACCCCCCATGTGCAGACTTTCGTGCATGTCTTCAGGGTCAAAAATCGAATTGAAGATGCGGAAAAAAAAGAATAATAATTAAAGCCGCAAGCGGCGATGAAAGGCCTCGCCCCTATTGCGACCGCCTCCTGGGCGCCGGTCCCACAAGCGTCACGCCGACGAATTGGCAGCCCGATCTGATCAGGATTACGTACATAAAAGCTAATTAATATGATAAAGTGCGTCCCTAGTGGTCACCTCCGGGACATGCACCCTCTACGTAGAGTAGTATTTTGCTCGTACAGATGTAAAGATTTGATTTTGCAACTTTGGTGAAGATCGGAAAAGTTTAGGTCAGAAGCCTTCCATAGGTGGCGCTGTAGAGTCATATTAGGTGTGTGTTTTCACACCATTACTCTCAGGTCATTACCAACTGTTAGTGATGTGAGTTTCAGCTCTGTAGGTCTGAGCCTGTGGTCAGGAGAGCATCAAACATGGAGAAATTCCCCGCTACCTCGCATGAAAACGATAACAAAATTCTAACTTTTATGCGATGATTGCATAACTTCAATCCGTCCAGATGGAGAAATGACATGGTAGAAGTCTGTGCGATGAAAATCCAGGGACTAGTACGAAGCCAAAAATGAGACACATTGAACTGCCTCTAGGTGGCGCTGTTGCACTCACAGTTGTGTGTTGCATATCGTTGTGTTCAAGGTCATACGCTGCATTTCTGAATTCATTTTTAGCCTCATCGGACAAAGATTTTGCCCCAAAAAGCTCATTTATTCACTTTACGTCGCCCCCAGTGGTCAGGTGTGGGACGTACAACTTTTGCGTAATGTAATGTTTTGCTCGTCTCGGTCCAGAGAATACACTCAGCGATTTTCGGGCCGATCCGAGCACTAGTGCCCCATTACTTTCCGACAGGTGGCGCTAAAGAGCTCAAATTGGGCGAATGATTTTAGTGTCATTGCGTTCAGGCCATAACCTAATATTACTGATGCGAGTCTCAGCTCTGTAGGTCTGAGCCTGTGGCCCTCAGGGCTCAGCGAAAATGGCCAAAACGAAGGCCTTATTCGCCATGGCGAGGGACAAAAACGGTGAAGATTTTCTAACTTTTTTTTGATGATTATATAACTTCAATCCGTCCAGATTAGGAAATGACGTGGTAGAACTCTGTGTGATGAAAAACCAGGGACTAGTTCGAATTTATAAATGAAAAGTCAAATTAGTGGCGAAACTTTGGCCCATCATGGCCGACTTCCTGTTGGTCCCAGACATGTGCTTAGACCGGCTTTTATGCTCGTCTCATAGAGATCTATCACTCATCCGAATTTCATGTACCTACTCCAAAATTTGAAAAAAAATCCCCAGAGGGTCAAAAAAAATGAAATTTCTAGGGGGCGTTATAGAGTCGGCGAGCGTCGGACAATCTGGAAACGTTCGTTTTATCAAATTTTTCGCCGAACCGGTCGTTTTAGACCCCCCATGTGCAGACTTTCGTGCATGTCTTCAGGGTCAAAAATCGAATTGAAGTTGCGGAAAATAAATAAGAATTAAAGCCGCAAGCGGCGATGAAAGGCCTCGCCCCTCTTGCGACCGCCTCCTGGGCGCCAGTCCCACAAGCGTCACGCCGACGAATTGGCAGCCCGATCTGACCAGGATTACGTATATAAAAGCTCATTTATATGATAAAGTGCGTCCCTAGTGGTCACCTCCGGGACATGCACCCTCTACGTAGAGTAGTATTTTGCTCGTACAGATGTAAAGATTTGATTTTGCAACTTTGGTGAAGATCGGAAAAGTTTAGGTCAGAAGCCTTCCATAGGTGGCGCTGTAGAGTCATATTAGGTGTGTGTTTTCACACCATTACTCTCAGGCCATTACCAACTGTTAGCGATGCGAATTTCAGCTCTGTAGGTCTGAGCCTGTGGTCAGGAGAGCATCAAACATGGAGAAATTCCCCACTACCTCGCATGAAAACGATAACAAAATTCTAACTTTTATGCGATGATTGCATAACTTCAATCCGTCCAGATGGAGAAATGACATGGTAGAAGTCTGTGCAATGAAAATCCAGGGACTAGTACGAAGCCAAAAATGCAACACATTGAACTGCCTGTAGGTGGCGCTGTTGCACTCACAGTTGTGTGTTGCATATCGTTGTGTTCAGGGTCATACGTTGTATTTCTGAATTCATTTTTAGCCTCATCGGACAAACATTTTGCCCTAAAAAGCTCATTTATTCACTTTC